AATTTTTGCGTACAAATTTTTGTGTAAAAATATCAGCTTTCCATGTTTTTATTGCGAGATTGTTGATGACGATAACGACTAATGGAGAGACATAGAAGGGCGATATGTTTTACATCAAATATAGGATGTTTCTCTCGTACGATCTATATTAAAAAATTTTTCATAGATTTAATATAAAAGTTATAGCATGTCATGCACGCGGGAAATTTTACATAACGTGTTTGCGTGACAAAAAGAGAAATAAAACTGAAGTTTTTGTTTCGAGTTTTATCGACAGATTTAATCCTTGGTGCGCAGACAATGAGGCGGATTATGGTTTCTCTCTCCACGGTCACAATTCGAATTTAATTGAATTTTTCCCGAGGGTGTTGGAGATTAATCGGTGGATCATTTGCCGGTTCGCTCCTCGGGTTCATTCCGCCGGATATCCGCTTGACATTGATACATAGCGTCGCGATAAAAATTTTCGTACACGTTACGTTCGAATTGATCGTGTTGAGATTTATATATGATCATAGATGTTTTTGCAAAGCATTTTGTAATCGGATACGTACGCGCAGATAAACGTGCATATCTGGTACTGCCGAATGCGAATAAGAGCTTATCTCATCCCATATCTTAATTACATTAATTACATTACCGCAATATATCTTTTGAGTAATACAGAAGATTAAATAAAGCAATAAATTTAATTACTTTATAATAAAAGTACGAAATATTATTCGATAAACCAGTGAAATTTTAAAAACAAAACTCTTTTCGAGAAATACCGATTTATATCTTTTTCCTATGACATTTTCACGTTTATATTTTATATACACGAATTTATACACATGTGGGATTTATCTATTTGTTATTTATCTATATATTTTTACGTCTATTGTGTGGAGTTTTTTTCTGACAATAAGATTTTCTCACAAATGAGATATAATTTATTTTAATGCCCGATCGTGATATTCTCGCTTCTATACTGATCTATTGGAGCTTCCTTCATCTTCTTACGCATTGATCCGTAACTATATTCGAAATGTATCAGGTTCTATATTTCGCAGCGACAGGATCATAACCGATAACTTGCTTCCTGCTTGTACCGTAAATTTGCAGATATTCATCGATAGGAAATGAACCTTTCTCTTTTATCTGGTTATAGTAAACTTCTTATTTTCACAAATTGCTTTTTAAGCAACATAATATTTCTCAACTATACGACGCCGCATACTAATGCTGCAAATTATTTACATTTTGTTTTAAAGATTTATAACTGTATACAGATATACATATTTTTATTACCATGATGCTATTAAGTTACACATGTGATTAATTTCGGTTATTAAATATAGTGGATGAAATCTGATAGAATATAATTATTAATAAGAAAATTAGTTATTTATAGAAAATTCGTGTAAAATGCAACACGCATTTAGCTATATATTAATAGATATTTACGTTATTTTAAACAGTATTTATGAAGTAATAAAAAAGGCAGTTTTCATTTCTTTTTGAAAAAATTTTATTACATACTGCGTCTTATGTTCCTTATTACGTGCCACAAAGTGACAGCTATTTGCGAGTATTATATCTCGAATTACTTGTTTTATGATGATTTATATTGCACGAACGCTTATAGAAGTTTTCGGTGTCGCAAAAATTTTTTCGATTAGGAATTTGTCTGCGCGTCCAAGAACGGACCAACTTATTCCGTTTGCGGACAGAAGGTACATTCAGGATTCCGCTTACGACGTGCATCGTGGAATTTCCTTCATCTCCTAGCATCGATCTTCTATCTACTGAGGGAAGTAGATCCGTGAACACCGGCTCCATGCAGTGTCCAATATATATTGGTGTGGATTTATAGTCATGCTCTGCTCTGCGTGTAGTATATTAACTCCTTCCTTTTCTGTTTCATAGATTACGCTGAATGAGAAAATCGATAATTTATATTTATTTTGCGATAGAAGATTTCTACTGTACTAAAAAAAATATTAATTATTGACGAATTTAATATGCAATCTATGAGTTTGAAATATAAAATTTTATTATATGCTCCTTCCCCTCTTTCGTTTAAAATGACGTTTATAAATTCGCTTTTTCTTTTTTGATTCAATTATACTTGATTTTTAATTTTATTTAATTATTTAATTATTTGTTAATGGAAAAACGATACGATTTCATATATATTCTGAGTTATACGCTGTTATTCCATGCGACGTGTTCTTTAATTGAAGGAAGTAAATTTCCTCATATGTTCTAAGACACACGGAGAGAAATCGTTAGTAAACTATACATAGTTGCGAAGTAAAATTTACTAAAACAGTTGTGCCGAACTGGCTAAGCTGTATTTACCAACAGGGTTAGGTAAAAATTACCGAACGAATTATATAATTTTTACTTGATTAGTTAAGCTGCAGTAGTTAGGTAAATTCTACTCAACTGTATAAGTAGGATTTACAAATTTTGATACGGTAATATAATATCGAACAATTATAATACTTGCAAATAATAATAATGCTTAAAAAAATTGATTTGTATGTTCATACAAGAATATATTTTAAAAATTAAATATTATTTAGATATAATTATTAAAATAGGTAAATAGATCATTAAAAATTTGTATAACAAAATTAATGGCAATTTTTTCAAATAAAAATGTATTTAATTCTTATATATATGTTATAGTACATGTCTTGTGGCTACATAGTAGTTTGATTTTTTTTTAATTAAAAGACAAGCACTCAATTGCGGCAAGTCTTTTAATTTTTTAACAATTCTTAAATCGCCGTTAAACTGAACTAGAAACGCAAAATAATGTTCATCAAACGTGATCGCAGGTACATTCACTAAAACAAAATAAACTTCTCTATCGGCATAGTAAATTGCAGTAATTTTACCAAAAATTGGCATACCATCTTTTTGAAAACTTTGTACAACAACACTATTTTGAGCACACATTATTCCATTCGTTTCTACATACTTTATCCGTCGTATATTCACTTTATCACAAACATGAGTAAAGTGTGCAACGACAACTTGCTTTTTATAAAGTATTTCAGGTCCTAATTTCATTGTTTTTTTGGTATCACTTGTAGCTAATAAATATGCAAACTTAAGCTGATTTTTTATTGCCATTGTTTTCAAAATATTTGTTGATGTCGTTACACTCTTTGCAGCCAATTTGTGATTTCTGTGTTTTGATTCATATCGCATTGACCAAAAATGAATTAATGGACCATTTTCTATAATAATTCGAGGGTAGTGTGTCATGTTGTGATGTTTCGGTTTCAAATCACCGTACAATTTGATGTATAGTTCATGGTGTTTCTTGATGTGGTATTCTAATAAAGGAATATGATCACGGACAATTCTGGGAGAAGTGACGATGTCCACTATTCTTCTTAAGAATAAGTAAAGTTGCCAAGCTATATTATCTTCAGGCACTAAGTCACCTACCATCAGTCCGAAATATCTTAGAAAACACGCCATTTCTGCGGCTGACATTTTTAATTTCTTTTTTTCTTTGATCACCTCGACCGAAATTACTGGTACTTTATTCCCTTGTTCTAAAATGCCGTAATTAAATAGCTCAATTCTGCTATTTAATACTCTTAAAGAAAATATTTTCTTCTCTTTGTTGAAAATAAAATCATGCAAGATATTTGAAAAGCAGTAACTAGCTACTCCCTCAAAAATATCGTGCATAATGTCAACACTGACGTTCTCCGTCACGTGAAAACCATGAACTTCATTGAACACGCACGGATACTTAATGCCTGTAAGTGACACATTTGCTTTTTTTAAATCCTCTGCATAATTTTCTCTTGTTCTTAAAAGTGATTTGTCCTCAACAATTGACGATTTTGTCTGAGACGAATGAATAAAGCACAAGCGACAGAAAAAATTCGCTGAAAAACTTTCAACAAAGCCCAAGATACTGTTAAGGCCGAGGTTATCTCCTAAAACTAATCCGAGTTAAAAAAAAACATTATATTTAATGTTATCTACTGTAATGGTGATCCCTTTTTCCTCGACAATATTCAATTCTTGTATGATAAACTTGAAAATTTTTTTGTTTCCATCATCTTTATCGTCTTTTTTATCGTCTGAATATGACAATGTTGATAAAAAAATAGAGTTTAATTTAGAATTTAAGTGTAGGGGCATGCAAGGTATTGAAATGTATGTACCACCGCATTTGTTATTTCCGGCATGACTACCAAGGCAATTGCCAGTTTCAAAATCATCGTGATATAAAAATAATGGTATATAAAAACGATTACCATGAGATGCTCGCCTGCGCTGCCAATATTCGCTTTGTATAAAATTACTTATAATGTCTTTCTCTTTATATAGATCTTTCATATAGCTACGTATTTCACTAAACAATCCTGGTAGTTCCAAAAAAGCTTTTAATGTTGCCCTTAATGGTATATATTGTACTGTTGCGTTTACCGAGTTTGGAATAACGCATTGCTTTTTTTGCTCCACCATTGTTTCGCAAATTGGATAGGTTTCTGGTGGAATGTACCAATTACATTCCTCAATGTATTTAAACCTATGGTGTTCCGATGAAAACTGTGTAAACGGATTTTTATAAGATTGCAAAACTTTTTCAACTTCACCAATTACTTGATTATCACATTTAGTTTTAAGTTTAGTTTTAATCTGTTGAACAAGGAAAGGAATATAAACATTTTCGCTAAATTTAGTAAAATGTTCAATTATAATTTGAATCACGTTTCTGGGCACTACAGGATTGTTATACAGTGTTAAAACAATCTTAGCAATTTCTTTTTCCAAGTCTAAACAATTAATATTCTGAGAATCCATTTTATAAAAGAATAATTATACAATTAAATGTTAGAGATGGAACAAGAACACGCATACAAATAAACAACACTGCTATATAAAAATGAACGTCTTGCTCAATACATGTTAGACGTGTACCGCAGCTTATAACATTCTTATACATTTTTACAAGAATACTTAAATAAACAAAAGTGCAAAGAACGTATTACACTATTTTCACATTAAGACTTTAACATCTCTAATCAATGAATCTACACTTATATATGAATTTGTTTTGTCTTTAATTTCGATTTTATAGACAAACTTTTGCAGAAAAGTCCAAACGTGTTTGCATTCTGGTGGGTAATCTGCGTTCAGTACAAAGTATATTTTGAAACAGCAATTCACTGTTTCTAATGGATCTGACAAAACGTAAACTTGGTTGTTGATAAAAATCCTACAAGTTACAATATTATCGAGATCACCACATATCATGGGATAAGGCTGAATAGTCAGATCAAACTTTTTATATTTAGCTTCCTTCGATTCTTGTAGTGGTTCAAATTCCTCGTAAGTCTAAGAAAATAAACATAATTTCAATCAACAAATATTATAAATATAAAAATAAATATTTATTTACATGCATAACAAAATACCTGAATGTGTAATAAGAAGCCGTCTTGAACCTCTTTTCGTGTTGGTCTCCAAGATGGTTTCCCTCTTTTTGTTTTACAACCGATTGATCCTAACATTAATGGAAGAAGCATTAAAGCTACCAATGACGAATGACCTACGGTTACAAATAAAAGGTGTATAAACATTAATAAAAGTATTATTATATTATAACCTACATAGTTCTAATTTATTTTCAAAATAGTGATTGTCACTCACCATTGTCAAGGAACTTTGAGTTTTCCAAAAGATAATTTTTAACATCGCGATTTTTCTTATCATTTTTAGCCAAAGTTATGATACATTCAGCAATTTTTGGCCATTCCTCAATAAACTTATCTCTTTCTTCTGGATATATTCTATTGAAATCTGATTGCAACTGAAAAGTATAATATTAAATATAATTTAGATAGATAGATGAAGTTATTTTCGTCAGATACAAAAAATATAGATAATTATATAATTAAAAAAGGTTGATTATCAAACGGTAAACATTTTAAAGTTCTCATAAAATTTAAAAATAGATTAAATGATAAAATATTAAAATTGTGAAGAGGTTAAAAGAATTGAATCTCGTGTAATATAGGGGCGCGTGCTGCGGCCCGTGGCTCGTCTCGCACTGAAGTTCTTATACTTGCCATTTGGACACTGCCGCGTCCCTTGATGTAAAGAAAGCAATAGAGTAGATATATTTTATTGAATATAAATTAACGTACCAAAATGTATCCTGAACTGTTTTGTAAGTACTTGAATTTTCTCAACATCTGTTCAATACTCATATCATCTAATAAACTACGCGCAGCAAAAATAGACTCCCATTTCTCAAGATGTTCCTCCAAAGTTCCAGTCGTATTTGTTTGGAGCCATTCAAGGGTTTTCTCTATGCTGTCATTCTCTTCAGTATTATTTTCTAAAACGTCACAGACTAATTAATTGATGTTTCAATCAAAATACGTATAGATTACATAAATGAATTGTTAGGTAAATATGCTCTTACAATTTATTTACGTGATCTGATTTACAATAAGCCCAAGAATAATTATAATCATAATAACTTTTTAATAACAATACAAATTAGATAGATCGATCAAGTTTTTCTTTTTGTCCTAATACAAAAAATAGAAAATTAATATTTGTACCTGATTCAATTAAACTGTTCCTTTTATTCTTATTTGAGTCGTCCTTCGTAAGTAATCCTGCAGTCTTGAGAAGCTTTCTGCAGTGACAGTAATGATTGTACAGGACGCCGCTTATGTTTACTGGAGATCCTGGACCCTTTGACTGTACTGATGAGTAATATATACCTCGATCTTGTGTAGGGAATGCCAGTACAATTTTCTTGGTGAAATCCTCAAATTGTTGTTTATTTATTCTAGAAAATAAAATAAGGTAACTTAATTATACACGCGAAAAATTTATCCTAAATAAAATATATTAAATATGTATTGATTTTCATATAATGATTGTTGTATAAAATAAAGATAAACAATTGCAGTGTACATAGTGTAATGTTTATATTGGTAAAAAATAAACTATAATCTAAACATTACGTTTCCGTCTATCGGAATAACTTACTTATAATTAGAGCTCAATAATATTGCAGGCTTAATTAAAGCTTCAGCTAATAAAGCAGTATTTACTTTATGTGTCTGTTCATAAATAGCCACAACAAGGCGACCTGAGAAATTTGAATTTAATAATTCCAGAAAATGTTCTCGTTCCACATCTACAAAAGAACGTTTACATTGCAATATTATGCAAAAACAAAGTAAATTGTTCAAGATAAAAGCAAACCTAACCATTATCATTGATAATGCTTTTAGCATTTTCATTAGGTGCAGGTAAATCAGCATTTGATTGCGTAGTGGCAACGACAAGATAAGGTTCAGGTGAAATATGGACAACGTCTTTGATTTCAATGGGCATGCCCATTATGTCACTTTCATGCAATACAGTATCGGATAAATCAAGCTTTTGTACTTCTATTTCTTCTTTATATTTAGCATATTTTTGACTGAACATAAATTGATGTCCTAATACGGGAATCAATTTCTCAATCAATTTTTCATTGAGATTCAAAAATACATGCTTGTTGATTGCATTTTCTGTAAATGAATTAAATTGAATAAAAATTTACTGCTGTATTTTAATAATAGTTTTAGTTATATAATTTAGATTAAGCAGAAAAATATGTATTGTTTTAGTGAAAAAGATTATTGGAGGATTCACACTGCGTCCGATGTTCGATGTACGACGATCCGACATCCAATAAGAAATTTTTGTCTCTAATACTAAATTCTGTTATTGGATATCGGATCGTCGTACGTTGAACATCGGACGCAGTGTGAATCCTCCATATAACCTCGATTATAATAACCAAATTTTTACTTACGCTCAAAATTGGAGATCAAAAATCCCAAGTTCCACTGCTTCAGAAGATTTTTCACGAAGTCATCTGCCATGCCGGCGAGAAAGAGCGAAAATGAGAGGAAGAAAAAGAACTCGCTCGATGCACCGTTGCGTTCATCGACGTGTCTCGCGAACGGACGATCAGGTAGTAGACGGGGGAGGGAAGGAGGGCCGCGGAAGCACGCCGTCGCGGATTTTCGGACGGGTCGCCGACACTCTCGACACTAGTCACACGCCCCAGATAAGGGGGAAGGTAGAGAAGTAAATAAAGCACAACACACCAAAGTATGCGGTGTGTCGCTCGTTTTTAAATCACCGTCGATGCGGAGAAAAAAGAGTCACGCGCGA